ATATTATATTATGTTGTATTCTATTACATTATATCGTACTATATTATATTATATTGTATGATATGTTGTGATATTATAATATGTTATGTTATAGTAGACTTTATTATATTATGTTTTGCTTTGTTTTATTTCATTTTATGAAGCTGTATTTTATTTTATTATAATTGTGTCATATTATATCATATCATGGCATACCATATCATATCATATTCTATTCTATTCTATTCTATTCTATTCTACTCTATTCTATTCTATTCTATTCTATTCTATTATCTTATGATATATTATATTATATTATATTATATTATATTATTCTATTCTATTCTTTTCTCTTCTATTCCATTCTATTATATTATATTATTGGATTATATTTTTCTATATCTTAACGTGTAGCTGGAGTTGTCAATTTGCACGACGAGCAAGTCAACATGGAACACAAACAGACGACTTTCAATTGGCACACCTCCGTGCTTGGCCAGCAAGGCCCTCTCTACGGCTTCAGAGAGTCTCCTTCAAACTTGGATGTGTAATCTTGACGGACGCTGTGCCGAGGTGTTTGAAAGGACTCGTTCGACAAGGCGGTCTTTGATTCATTGTGGCCACCAAGCATAGCAATATGACATGGTTATCATCGTGCAGGAAGCACTGTAGCACTGTGCCAGTTTGCGTCCGGGCTGAGAAAACAGTAGGTCTCTGTAGGTGCCCACTGCTGTGCGAGTGAACGAGTGTCCCTTCTAGAGCGACCTTCTTCACTAGATGGGGACTGGAACCCCCAAAAGTATGTAGAATAATGGGCCGTTTATAGGTCTTAGGCTTTCGGGGGGGTTTAGGCAAGTCTTATAAGCCATTATATTATACTATATTCTACTATATTCTACTATTATTCTACTATATTATACTATATTATATTGTATTTAGGCAGGTCTTATAAGCCATGGCTTTATTGCGGCCTGCGGCCCCGCCCGAACTGCCAAGCTCCCCTCTCCAGAAAAGACACATGCAAGGCAGAAGGTTCAATATAGGGGCCTTAATATATATATATATATATCTATATCTATATATATATATGTATGTATATATATATATGTATATGTATATGTATGTATGTATAGGCGCCTTAATACTTGGAATAGGGTTGGGGGTACACTAGACAAAAATGATAATAAGGAGCCCCCAAAACCCGATTCTAATTGTTAAGGCCCCTACATGAGGGGGTTCAGGTTCCGCGAAGGTTCTTTAAAGGCTTCTATGAGGGGTTCGTGCAAGCGTTTCGGGTGTACTAGTTTTAGGATCCATGGTGAGACTTTCTTGGCTTGTTCTCGGGGTACCCGAGAGTTCGAAGAGGCCTGGGTGCAAAAGGGTCCGTGGTGGTGTTTTAGGGTTTAGGTGTTTAGTAGTGTTTAGGGTTTAGGGATTTGGCCGGGCGAGCTCAGTTCAAGCTTGTGGAAAAAAGGTGTTTAGGGTTTCAGGGTTTAGGGTTTAGGGTAATTACTCCGATAGTAGATGCAGCCCCAGCTCGCAAACTGAAAGGCTAACGCCCCTGAGCATCTCTCCATATGCACCTTATGTCAAGATCTCTTCAGGAGCCTCCCAACCTCTTAGACCCTCAAAGCCATCCTCTACTCAGGGAGCCGGTTGACGCTGATCTGAGAGCTGGCGTTGGACCTGAGGGGAGGGCAGCTCACGTGAGACGATGTGAAACGGTGGCGCTGGGGGTTCAGGGAGGGGTCCCGGGGCTGTTGAAAGCGCATATATTGCATTATTTTCTACTATATTATAAGTTATACTATATTATATTATATTATATCATATTATGCTACTCCGCTCAACTTCTCGTCTGTACAGTCAGCATCTCCCCAAGGAGAAAGCTCCTTGGTTCCACATCAGAAACACAATGAAGTCCGAGTTTGCAGTGCATGACTGTTACAGTAGCTCTCTTAAAGGACTCATACAAACCCATGGTGTCGCAATCAATGCTTGTAGCTGTGGGTTCCAGTGGCTGCGGCGCTGACTCTCCGTTGGAGCGCTTTCAGGGTTTAGGGCATCTCCCAGCTGATCAGCACAGTCTGGGTTCCATAAAAAAAGGGTATAAGAGTCGAAACCTTCACGGTTCGAGGGTTTTGGGGGTGCAGGTGTTTGCTTTCTACACGAGACTGTTTCCACTGACACTTAGTATCACGAAGACCCCCCCGACAAAGGACCCTCTAAACCTGGAAACCCTAAACCCTGCTCAGAGCCATCCTACTTTGGGGAATGCCAAGTCCGTGCCTTGGCTTTGGCCTCTCGGGGTTGGGTTGTCGTCGAATTCCCTGATGCCCGAACTCAAGTGCAGCACTCTTCCGAGACCGATGGCAAACTCAGGTCCTAGAAGGGCTTAGGAAATACGGAGGTGTAGGAAGCCGGGGGTCTCGATCCCCATCGTCTCCATTGTGATCTTTGTTGTTGGATAAACTAACTTTATAGTTAGGATAGGATCCTAAAAGGTAGCCCAAAAGGGCACTACGATGGAGAGTAGTAGAGGTAGGCCCGAAGCCATCTTCAACGAAGCCCCGCGCACCACCGGAGCCCGAGCCTGCAAATCGAGAGCTGCATTGCTTGTTTACTTCTTATCCCTCCTTGGCAGCCGATTCCTGGTGTACTGTTCTGGCATGTCACAGTAGTAATCTCGGACGCTGGGAGCCATGCCTGCTTTGCGAGTGTGTGACTTGAAATCGAGAGCTCCCGGTGCCTTCAGCTCCAAGGCTCAGGAAATCAGCGGATCATGATCCGGAACTATGCACATGCTTGTAGGTGATCGGGTCGACCCTCCTAAATCACTGGACAAACGCACATGTTTGTTGTTGTTTCATTTGTTCTTGTGGTTCACAACGTGGGCACCATGATCTATGTTGGAGTCGGCTTCTGCAAGCACAGGACCGAAGCTTTTTACTGGACGAAGCTTAGAACTCCCTTACACAGCATTCAACGACACCTAGCCATGTCTTTCGTGCTTGGCACCTGACCTTGCTGTCGATTTACCATGTCGCCTTGGCCTCAGCAGCCAGATGCCTGCATGCTCAGGGAGAGTACCTGTCACGCGAGGATACGGAGTTGAGCCGAGTATTTCCGAAGTTTAAGACCTAACCCATGCGAGCGGGGGTTTGATTTAGAGCTATGCCATGCTTTCGTGGTGGTGATGGCGGCGGTCGTGGTGACGACAATGGTAAGAAGTCGTATTGGTATTGATGTTGAACTGATGAATATTCTTCTTCTGGTAGTTTGTTACTAGTAGGATTCGTAGCGTAGCACTGCTGGTGTTGGGTGCTGCGCTGCTGTTGCTGGGGCTGCTGGTGCTGGTGCTGTGGTAGTCGTCGTCGTGGTGGTGGTGGTGGTGGTGGGAGTAGTCTTAGTAGTGAACATCAGACTTTGGTGGGAAGAAAGCTTACACTGCTTGCGTGGCAAAAAACGGACTGACAAACTAGGACCCCTCGCCGAAATAGCCAAAGGCATTCCCCTCCCACTCTTGTGTTTTGCGGACACGCCTGCACCATAACTATGCCCGAAACGTCGTCCAGTGCGAGCGTCTTGGAGTACCGATCCACAGGCAGACCATCAGCGGTGAAGTCGTTAAAGTAAAGATACCGTTATTTCGAGGTCTATGCTGCGGCTCCGTAGTTTGCGTTAACCAAATTTGCATGTTGGACTGAAGCCCTTGTTAGCCTCCGGCTTTACGTCAGGGCACGCAACAAGCCTTCGACACAGCATCCCTGGCAGCACCTCGAAACCACAGTCGCGAAGCCGAGATCCGGAACCCTGAAACCGAAACTTCCCCAAACCCTGAAACCTCTAATCCGGCAGAGGTTTGGGTGTTTTTTGTACGGTTTAGGATTTAAGGTTTAGGGGATTCCGGAATTAAAGCTTCGGGCTTGTAAGTGCGGGGGGGGGGGTTTAGTTTTAGGGTTTAGGGTTTAGGGTTCTTGGGTTTAGGGGTTTAGGGTTCGAATGCCTGTGAGAGAGAGCGGGGTTTATGGTTTCGGCTTGGCCCTAAACCCTAAACCCTAAACAAGATCTCAAAGCCTCCGCCACAAGCAGGTCCGAACCGGAAGTGGGTAGGAGGGCCTCCTTGCCAGAAGAAGACGCAGGCCAGGGCCACGTCAGTTTATATCGGGGGCCTCAGTAATCAGAATACGCGAGACTCCAAAACATGTTCCTAGGCTTTCTGGGGCTACATGTTCGTAGTGGTTGTAGTCAGGAACCCTAGAGACTGGCACTGGAAAGTCGATAGGCTTCTGAATCAGTGGAGCTTGGGGGTAGGATTAGCTTCAGTAAGGGGTTCAAGCTTGAGGCTTTTTGGGTCAACTGTTGAGGGTTTAGGGTTTAGGGGTTG